TTTCTTTTTTTGGGTTTTTTTATTTTTATATTTCGTTCATTTCCCCTATTCCTCCTTTCATATTCCCTTTTTAGTTATAGATCATTTTCTTTTTTTTATAGATTTTTTGATAAGATAATTCTGGTTTGTCCGCAAACTGGTGCAATGGGTTGCATTTAGAACTGTAAGGTAACCGAGTGAAGTTGGGCTTTGAGTTCTATAAATTTAATGTATATAGCTCTTATACATATTTTAATAAAAAGCAAGCCACGGCAAAACCTGTGAAGATTAAAAAAAAAAAAAAATAGTAGCTTAACAGGTTTAAAATATATTATTATATATTTATTATATATTTATTATAATTTTAACATATAATCATCATATGGGGTTAGTTAGTAAAAATGCACCAAATTTTTTCTAAGTAAATTTTTTTAAACTTTGAACAAAAATAACATATCTATAACTATTACTTAATTAAATTTAATAAAAGTTTTTAAAATAATTCTAATGACTTATAAAATTATTTAAAAAATTTTTACTAGATTTGATTAAGTTTTCGTTAAGTTATTTTTGTTTAAAATTTATAAAAAAAGATTTGGTGCATTCTACTGACTCGTACCATCACTACAAATCGTATGAGTGTATCAAGGTATTTATTTATTTATTTTATTTTATTTATTTATTTATAATATTATATTAATTTTCATTTTTAATTTTCATTTTTATACTTTGAATATCTTTATACATTTTATAATTAATAATTATTATTAATTGTTACTACTATTTGTTAGTTACTTACTACATATAATTATTATAAAAAAAAAATTCAAGTTTCTGCTAAGTTGGTTTAGAAAAATAATTAAAAACACTTCTTGTTTCTACCGAAAGAGCCCATATACTCAATATAGAAAATTAAAAAGAATATCATATAAGGAGACTTCATTATCAAAAACAATTGTATAGTGCCTTACAATACAAGATGCAGTAAGAAGGCATAATAATAACTACTATAATGACAGATATGTGATATTTCAACATTATTTTATTGTATTTCTGCATTTCAATGAGCAATCTATCGAAATACATCAACCAATTTTATCGTCAACTATACCCCTATTAGCACAAATTTTGTCCTACTTTTTTTTAACCAGATGTTTAAATATAGCAACCAATTAAACTTGACTAAAAATTTTTGATTCTATGATTATAGATGCTGGTGAAATTAAATTATTTCACCAGGTGAAATGATGAAATAATTTCACCAAAATTACACCAAGCTAAAAATTTGATGAAATAGTGGAATTGGTGAAATTGGTAAATTAGCGAATTGGTTAAACGGTGAATTGGTGAAATTGGTGAAACAGTGAAATGGCAAATGGTGAAATTGATAAAATAGTGAAACGTTCATTTATTAATGTTAATATCTGATATATATTTACTTTTATTAATGTTAATATACAACAAAATACCGATTTGACATTAAAGTTCGAGGGGTCGAACCACAGAATTAAAGAATTGATTCGAAATTGTGCAATAACTAATACGAATTAGTAATCAAATTAGTAATCAAATATATATATAGTAACTATAAAGGCTTTACCCAATTGGTATTTCTCCATCCTTTACATCCATGATCGAACTATCAACTATTACATTCAAGCTAGTGGGACGGTGTACAAAATAAACACTAGTCATTTCGGTAATCATTTAGCACCAAATATAACATACTAGCTACGTAATACCGAGTGTACAACCCTAAAATAGAAACAGCCATTCAGAATGTACGTACGTACAGTACATACTAGAGATGGGACCCGAAACCTTTTTGGCCAAATCCGAAAGTTTCGAGTTTCGGATTATAGGTTCCGAAACCTCGAAACCTTATCCGAAACCCCGAAATCTAAAACCTTATCCGAAACCTACCCGAAACTCTGAAACTCTACCTAAAATCTCCTAAACCTCTAAACTATTAAAATTTAATTTTGTGTAGTAATTTAGTTTTAATTAATAAGTCTGCACCACTTATGATGAAAAATAGTGCTTTTAAAATGCAGATAATAATCAAATTGTAGAAGATTGAAGATTTAGATAATGAAGATGAGCTAAATGATTTTATTTAAAATTCAGATTAAGATGATCCAAATGAAAATAGCACAATCATTTCGATGATAGTATTAACCAATCATTGATTGGTTTTAATACACATTAATCAAAACAAAACAAACAGCGGGTTGATTAGGTTTAGTATTTGGCCAGGGCAATAGCTAGAAGACGCCAACCCAAATTTAAGGAATTCTTCTGTTATTATAAAAAAGAAAGTTTTACAAATTTTAAGTTAGAAGCGATTTTTTTAAAAGTCGATTTCTATGTTCACCTGATCCTACATTTTGATTGGCCAAAGGTTTCGGATTATAGTTTCGGGTTTTCGGGTTTCGGGGTTTGGAATTAGGCCTACTCGAAACTGGTTTCGGGTCCCATCTCTAGTACATACGTAAATCTTATTTATCCGGATCACCAACACGTGCGCAAAGCGAATAACAGCAAGAAAATACAAGAAAACAATGTTATATCGGCTTAGTAACACTAATTAAAAATGACGGTGATGAAATTTTCATAGGAAAATCATAACTTTCCTTCTCAACTTAACTCTATCTAGCTTTATTCAATCCTAACCCGACTTTAGTATTCAAACTAAAATCATCCTTTTTTAGTTTGTATCACACCCAAAATTTCCCTGCATAACCGTAATTGTATTAAAACTTTATCAATGTCAAATTAACTTAATTCTGGACTAATCGAATAGTTTTTCCGTTTTTAGATCAATAGTAAACAATTATGCATATAAGCCATTTCGTTTACTATTAGGGTACCTGGCAAAGTAATCACAGGCGTGCCAAAGTTGGCATGCCATAACGGCATACCAATGGCATGCTAAAAGCCTATTTGGTATGCTATCTCATAAATTAGTTACACAAAAATAAACAATATTATAATTGGTTGGTGTTAATAAAGCAGTATATATAATATATATAAAATATGCGTTATGTATTAGTGGCATGTCAGAGTGGCATCATGGCATGAATTTAAATAAATGGCATGCCACTTGGCATGCCAAAATTTTTTAAGGTGCCAGATACTCTACTTACTATACATTCATGATATCGTGCTGCCTGTCATATGTAGGCTCGCAGAAAATTTGGATAGTAATGCAAGCTTAAGTAATATCTAAAGAGCAACCAGTTGATAATTCAAATGTTCAATGAAGCTTAATTACATGGTTTTTTATTAGAAATATAGGATTTCGTTTGAACAATTTAGTCTATACAGTATCGCAATCTACTTTTTTTATTTGCAAATTCGGGATTTGATAGTTTTTCCCAAATGAATTCTGAAGACAATTACGAAATGTGTTTGTTAATCCTCCGGTATTATTTACACAAATCTCTTTTAAGCGTGTTTCTTCCTTTTCTTTTATTTGTTGATTTTGAAAGTATAATTCATTATAATTGTCATTACTGTATATTCTATTCCATCTTCGATAATTTGTGTAGATAATTCAAAAGAAACTTTCATTTGGCAAATAATTCTTAATTAGATAACAGAGTTGGCACTTATAATGCTTAAATGTATGGATAATTGAAATATTACAAATTACTTGAAACACGTGTTGGCTTATCCAGTATGTATATTTGCATTGATATTTTGCTGCAATTGTTGATCTAAGCTGACACGTGCTTTATATCTTCAAAACATAGGTTTGTAATTTGTGCATCTGATCGAAATTTTTTAAGAGTCCGAATATAGAATTTGATGGTAACATGAGCTTTTTAATTCCAGAATCAGTTTTTTATTTAAGACGGTTTGAAGTTACAATTTCGTTTAACGTTCTCCCCCCACTGCCTCCAATAGCTCCCCCTGAAATTAAACAAGCCAATCAGAACGCCCGCTACATCTTTAAGATTTCAATAAATCATGTGACTACAAATCAACCAATAATAATGGTGATTTTCTGAGGTGTTATATAATGTTTGTTTAATTTGGCCCCCTCCCCACTGCGCTTAAGCTTCGAAAGGAACGTTAAACGAAATTATAACTTCAAACGGCCTAAGTAACGATTAAAACTTTAATAAATGCAAATTTGGTCATAAAATTTTTTGAAAATTTTATATGAACAATAGGCAAACTAAACCTTACCCCTATTTATAAATTTCGGGTCATGGTGATGTGATAGACATTTTTAGATCAGATGATCAAATAAATTTCTAGCTAACGGTGTCTGTTTTCCTGGTACACATATTAACGTTTCATCAATATATTCCAACCTATCTTTAAATTGATAAAAATCTTGATAATAAAAGCTATAACTTACCCCAACGCTAATCAGTTTCGAAAGTTGCTCATTCAGTCGAAGGTGTGGGTGGAAAGAACAAGAGGAACGCACCCTGAATGTATGATTTTTACATCATCACATATTTCGTAATAACCGATTTGTTTCCATAATAAAACTAAATTCCTGCAAATTAAAGATCGCGCGCGCGATCACATGAAGCTGTCTGTTATTTTCAAACCCATCTTTAGGAGGATATTCATGAAAAATCAGTGACGCACAAAGTCTTTAAATTCTCCAAATGGGCACTTAAAGAACACTGAACCCAGTGATCTACGATTACATGCTAAACATGTGATTTCTTGTAATTTTCCTAATTAAAATCTCGTGCAACAATGACTCGAAGGAAAGAACCCAATCATGACGTCATTTGTTTACAAGAACTAAACAAGCTGCCTAAACTGGCATAACCTAACCCTAAATTAACGCCAACCTAGTTCGAAGATTGTTATGAGATATTGTGATGATCACTGAGTTCAGTGCTTAATCTTCCCTTTAAATGACATAGGAATGAGTTTTTTATGCAATATCAAGTCTTCTATGATTTTCATATTTTTTTGCAAGATGGCTGGATCGTCTTTTATAAAATGTTGGCCAGCAGAATGGAAATGAAAGAGTTTCGTATCGTTTCCTTTCATACAAAGTTTATGAACTTTAAATGACTTCGTGCTACCGTTACAAAATACGTAAAGACTGTTAATGGTAAATCACTTGCCCAAGGAGTACGCGTCTTTTTCTGCAATAATTTGATCTGTTCTGCATTTATTTGTTTAACATCATGTGCATAATTCAGTTCTATTAATTCTAAATCGTAACTTCCATAAGAGTTAAGCAAACGTTGTATAAAATATATCGAAAAAGTCGCACCTTTCGCAATAAGGGCTTGAGCAACAGATAAATCAATAAATGATGGCCCTAATCTCACAACAAGTCATTCAGCCCTTGCATCCCTGTTTTTGGCAATATTGTGCCAGTTTTACATGTGAGTATTAGTTTGATTTGGTACATTACGTGTTAAATATGTTAATAAGAGTATTCGAAAATTTTTTGCTGTCATATAAATTCACCGGTCAACCTGAGCAACGTCAAAGAACAATAGCCATTTTATTTATAATAATAAATTTTCCGATGCTTTGATCGGATTTGCGCGCATGGGCTATAAAAATATTAAAGCTAAATTAAAATATCTAGTCGTGTATTTTTAATTGATTTCTAAATAAACGTTGCACTAGATAAAAATTACGCGTCGATTAAGAGCTTCGGATTTGGCATAATAAAACTATGATATTTTTGGGTTTGATAATAAGTATAAGTAAATATTAAAAAAGAATTTCATATTTAGTGTTTGAAATTATCCTAACATGAAATAATTAAAACATTTTGAATTTTTCGTTCTATATAGTTTTGATTAATACGGCAGGATTGTACTTTTTTTTCTGTTTCTTTTTATTTGGTATTATTAAGGTTATTTCAAGTAATTTTATAATAGATTAGGTTTAAAGGGAAAAAACAAAACTTAGCCTTGATCTAGTTATCTTCATTCTAATCTCCGAAACGCCATGCTATGTTACTATAATTTTTCATGTAGTATTTACGTACCTTTATTCTATTTGCATGCTCGGAAATTTTATTATACTAGATTAATATTTATGCAAAAGCGCCTATTATTATGACATTTCTGTGGGCGTTCATTCATGTCATTATAGGTAAAATATTATTTCGCTTTTTAAATACATTACTAGTTGCACTACAGAGTTATGCAAAAACCAGGAATGTAAACTTTTAGATCACAGCATTCAATCAAAATCAGGCTTTTTTGCGTTCGAACTAGGATTACACTTCGCTTCATTATGCTCCTGGTACTTATGTAAGTATTAAGATAAAACAAAAATGCCTAAAGTGGTATCACCCGCATTTCTTTAATCTTTTTTTTTTTTTTTTAGGTGCATAACTAGTGTAGGTGGATACACAGCTATTTCGAATTTTTTTATTTTCTTTCAAATAATTATTTGTACGTATTAATTTGGGCTAATCAAAAAGATGAAGATGTGTAAAAAAAAAATGCTTATAATAATTTTTTTAAAAAAGACTATGCAATGCTATATATCCGGGTACTTGATTGAATATACTCGGGTCTTGACTATTTTACATGATTGATTTATATGTATTAAAAATTCTATAGAATCATAATGCAGTAATGTATAAAGGTCACTAGTCCAAATGATAAAATTAATATCAGTTCACACTAGTTGAAACTATATCAAAGGTTTGCCGAATGTATACTGGTTTTTGTCAGCATTCTGTCAGTATTTTGCCAATATTCATCCAGCAAACTAGCCGAACTCGCAGAATTCTTGTAGAATACTTGCAGGATGCCGACAATTACCAGTATACATTCAGCACATTCAACAGCCTATAATATAGTTTCAACTAGTATGAACTGATATTGATTTATTCATTGGACTAGTGGATAGTGCTTTAATTAATCTATAAGTGTAAATGATGAAAGAAATAAAAAACTTTCACTAGATTAAAATAATAAACTTTGATCGCTAAGCTTTAAAGTTCAATTCAAGTTATATTTATTTATTCTTTTTTCTTTAAGGTTGTACTATTTCGCATAATAGTGACATACCTTTTCAGTTTAATGCGTTTGAATACAAAGACTATGATCAAATCATGAAAATTTCAACTATATATTATTGAATGTAATTCTTCGTCTGATTTTGAATATGTACGAGCACCGCAGAATGAAAATCTGGAAGCGGCGATTTAAAGTTTCGTTGCCCAAAAGAATTGTAATACAATCAATGTATAGTCGTTTCTATAGTTGTGTCACTTTAATATTTAATGGTAATTTCTATAACAATGGCCAAAAGCTTTTATATTATAAAAATATTAGAGTAACATACGCTATCGAAATGATATTATTACACGTAATAATTTATAGTTCTTCTGTAACTAAATTCACTAAAGTATGAAACTAAATTTCCGTTTCAAGGTTTCCATTCTGTAGCATTCAAACATATGCACAGATTTAATCCAATAGCGCTACGTTATGGATGCATATCGGTAATGGCCGTTATGGCTTAAAAACATATAGCATCTAGTGATCATCTTTACATGATTACAATAATAATGTATCACGACATTATTAAATACCTTAAATAAATCCACAATGAATAAATTATTTATTATGAAAATCAAACAAAACAAGCCATATATCCGGATATGGAATCATGGAATTTGAAAACAAATAATTACCGGATATAGAGTTAGATACGGTGTGACAGTTAAGATTAATGTCACCATACCCGAAATCGGGCTGTGTCGGATGACTATCAATTTTTCTTTACTATTTTTGTATTTTTTTTCTATATTCGGGAATGATGGTGAAGTTTCCTTTTAGGGTAGTAAATTT